TGGCTGCTCTGCTTAGAAACAACTTTTGTCCATTGTTCAAGACCTTGAAAATTGATGCATTGTCTTTTGGGAGCTAACACAGCTTATTTAAGTTTAACTTTCTCTGGAGAGGCATAGAGATAATGAAATGCAATTCCTTCCTTGAACATAACCATGTACATAACTTCCAGTCCTCCCTGATGCATAAAGCACATTTGATAAGAGCAATTCAAATATTGTAACAATTAGTGTTGATTCTTCTTTTAAGTTGTGAAAAAACCTATGTCAGCAGTTAAGGCATGTGGAGATAACCATTTCTGAGGCCAGCTTTTCATTATGTCACATGCACTGATATTTCTAAGTTTTTCCTGGTTCATTTTAGATGTAATCTTGCTGATAATGTCTTCAAGAAGCATTATAAAGAAGGAAAAATGAAAAGGCCCCTGGGGTGTATACACAGGGGATACACATTATGGTGTTCAGCTTACAGGTGCAGGAGTCCTAGAATACTTATCAGTGTGTGAAGTCACTCTGCTTTTTAATCACTGTGTGGAGCCCTTCTTCTGTGTTAATTTGTTTTTTGTTGTTGTTGTTGTTGTTGTTTTTATTTCTGTGATAAAGACCATAATCAACAGAAACCTGGAGAGAAAAGAGGTATTTGACTTACACTTTAAAATCAGTCCTTCAGTGACAGAATTCAAGGCAGGAACACAAGCAATGTGGGACTCTAGAGGCAGGAACTGTGGCATAGGCCATGGAAGAAGGCTACTTGCTGGCCTGTTCCCACAGCTTACTCAGTTAACTTCCTATTTTATTTAAACAACTTTGTTTTGCATGTCAATCCCAGTTTCCTCTCCCTCTCCCTCCCTCCTCCCCTGCCCCCTACCAGCTCCCTGTCACATACCCTTTCTGCTCCCCAGGCCTTCCATGGGGATCTTCAAAGTCTGTCAAATCATTTGGACCAGGGTCTAAGCCCTCCCTGACATGTCTAGGCTGAGAGAGTATCCCTCTATATGGAGTGGGTTCCTAAAGACCATTCGTATACTAGGGATAAATACTGATCTAGTACCAGAGGTCCCATAGACTGCCTAGTCCTCCTAACTTACACCCATGTTTAGGAGGTCTGAGTCAGTCCTATGCTGGTTTCCCAGCCATAAGCCTCTCTCTCTCTCTCTCTCTCTCTCTCTCTCTCTCTCTCTCTCTCTCTCTCTCTCTCTCTCTCTCTCTCTGTCTCTCTCTCTCTGTCTCTCTCTCTCTGTCTCTCTCTCTGTCTCTCTGTCTCTCTCTCTCCCTCTCTCCCTCTCTCCCTCTCTCCCTCTCTCCCTCTCTCCCTCTCTCCCTCTCTCTCTCTCTCTCCCTCTCTCCCTCTCTCCCTCTCTCCCTCTCTCCCTCTCTCCCTCTCTCCCTCTCCCTCTCTCTCTCTCTCTCTCTCTCTCTCTCTCTCTCTCTCTCTCTCTCTCTGGTTTTTGAGACAGGGTTTCTCTGTATTGTTTAGGAGGTTTCTCTAACCTGGTCTTGACCTCTTTGCTTATCACTCCTCCCTCTCTGCAACTGGATTCCAAGAGTTCAGCTCAGTGTTTAGCTGTGGTTGTCTGCTTCTGCTTCTATCAGCTACTTGATGAAGGCTCTAGATGGCATATAAGATAGTCATCAATTTCATTATCGGGGAAGGGCATTTAAGGTAGCCTCTCCACTATTGCTTAGATTCTTAGTTGGGGTCATCCTTGTAGATCTCTAGACATTGCCCTAGTGCCAGATTTCTCTTTAAATCTATAATGGCTCCCTCTATTATGGTATCTCTAACCACACATCTGACAGAGGACTGACTTCCAAAATATACAAAAAAACTCAATAAGCTAGTCACCAAAACACCAAATAATCTAATTAAAAAAGTGGGGTAAAGAAGGTGGAATAGGGGGAAGAGGGAATCATAGGTTAGAAGACAGACCAGGCACCAGTGTGACCTCTAGTGATCTAAAGGGATGACACCAATTGGCAAGCTAAGCAATAGTGGAGAGACCACTTCGAATGCCCATTCCTGATAATGAACTTGATGTCTATAACCATCTGGGAGCCTTCATCCAGTGACTGATGGAAGCAGAGGCAAACACACACAGTTAAGCACTGAACTGAACCCAAGCAACCCAGTGACACAGAGAGAGGAGCGATGAGCAAATTGGCAAAGGGTGGGCTGGCAAAACCAGCAGAGATAGCTGATCCAAACAGGGAAGAGCTCTTGGATCTCAGACCGACAGCTGGGAGGCCAGTATGGGACTGATCAGACCTCCGGAATGTGAGAGTCAGTGAGGAGGCCTGGGCAACCTATGGGGCCCTGAGCAGTGGATCAGTGTTTATCCCTGGAATACAAACAGACATCATGTGTCCATAACACAAAGAGGAATGCTCTCTCAGCCTGGACTCTTAGGGGGAGTGCCTGGACCCTACCCTGAGTTAAATGACAGACTCTAGATATCCCCTATGTAGAAGGAATTGGCAATAGGGTGGGAGGCTGGGGGGGGATGATGGGGAGGTGCGGGAGGAGGGGAGGGAGAGGAACTGGGATTGACATGTAAAACAAGCTATTTAAAATTAAAATAATAAAAAAGAACTAAATAGGGAATTCTCAATAGAGGAATCTAAAATGTTGAAAAGACACTTAAGAAAATGCTCAACATCCTTAGCTATCAGTTAGCTTTCTTACACAAGCCAAAACCGCTTGCCTAGGGATGGTACCATCTACAGAGGGCTAGGGCCTCTCTTATCAATCATTACCCAAGAATGTGCTCTATAGACTTGCCTACAGGCTAATTGGATGGAGTTATTTTCTCAACTGGAGTTACTTCTTCCCATATGACCCTAGCTTGTTAACACAAAACTAGCTAGCACATCTTCTGAGCAAGCAAATGTATTTCTCCAATGTCTGTCATGTTTTTCACTGTTGTCTCTACCATTACATTCAAATTAAGGGGTAACTAGGACAGAGGCAAATATACCCTGTCCCCCTCTATCTCCATCCTGAAGAATCAAAACCTTTCTCTCCTTGCCCTTCCTATCTTACTGTTAACTCTCATACTGCTCATCACTGCCCCCTTTTTTTCTACACCATCACAGAATAATCACTATTGTCAATCACACCACGCATGCTCATTGTCTTCTAGGGACAAGGGTCAGAATCTGAAGGGCAACACTTGCAAGCCTGTGTTCTGGTGCACAGCAGAGGTTGGGAAATGAAGGGGGACAGCTATCTCTGCTTAGGTAGTCTTTCATCAGTTTATTTTTTCAGATAATAGAAAATAGGGATGCATCTCTCTTTCAACTCCTAGTCCAAGTGTACACACCTCATGTGGCTAGTAAAATGATAGAAATTTGGAGGTGCCTGATTCACTTTAAAGTAACATACACAGACAAGTACCTGTTTTCCACCACCTCCTCTTGGATCAAACTCATCACTTAATTTATTTAGGATGATGTTTAGAGCATGTTGGAGAAATTAACTCAGGTGATCCTTAGAAATTCTTTGGGTGTTGAATGTTACCCCTTTCCCTGAAAACAGAAAGAGAGGTACAGATTTGTTACAAATGGTAGGACATGATTTTTTGTTTTTGTATTTTGTTTTTAAGGAAACATTCCAAATTATATGAATGCAGGTTTGTAGTACAAAGCTGTGATATACTACTATATTTTTGTTTTGTTTTGTTTTGGTCTTACCCTAAGAGGGGAAAATATATAAAAGCATATAGGTAGATTTAGAGAAGAATGAGAGGAAATAAACATATGGGCATGAATGCATAGATGGTGTTCTCAAGACTCACTCACTTCTTAGGATGCTCTGAGGTAGGGACCACGTACTCCTTCCCTGCCCTAGTTCCTTCTTTCTCTCATGCTCAGTTTATAAAATGAAAGAGATAAAACTGATGAGTGGACAGCTGAGAGCAAAAGATGGAAGCCTTACAGAGCTGCCAGGATGCTACTATGCAGCTGGCATCTTCTCTTACTGCTGAAGATGGGTGTAGAGTGTGACCTTTGTGCAGCAATTGATTTTATAATACACCTTTATTGAAAACAGGAAAGGATGGATTATCATTGGAGAGAAACAGAGAGCACACCTTTCTAGAATTCCTGATGAGTCTTTCTTAGGCTCAAACTCATTTTGGTTTGGGAAAAAAATCACTGTGTTCATTGCAGCAAAGCTGACAGCGTTTTCCTTTGAAGAGCTGGTGGAATAAATGGAGTCACTTAGGTTAGACTCGGGGTATCTATAACTTTAAAGCTACACCAGCACACTGCAGAGTCCACAGAGAGAAGAAATTTTAATTTATACTGCAATACTAAATGTCCTACATTACATATTTCTCAGGCTTAGGTCTATATTTGAATTAATTATAGAGATTATGTGATCAAAAACATAATGCAACTAGGTGAAAAATGAACAGAATGGATTAAAAGAGAAAAATCATAAATACCTGGCTTTTCACAATGTGAGGCTGAATATATATCTTGTGTATAAATGACCTTTGCATTAGATACTTGGGTCCACCAAGGTATCTCTAAACTAAGTCTTATTATAATAAAGAAACTTGGAATAAAGCCCATTGCTATTCATCTTTTTTGAATTATTGTCTGAATTTTGATGCCTTAGATTTCAATTTCATTTCTCAAGACTAGAATTAAATATACTTTGGGCTTATCCAACAACAAAATGCATAAGCATAATTGCTACTGCTTTGTATTGTAAATATTTTACTTATGTGACTATAAATGTCGATTAGGGCCGAGAAGTGGCTCAGTTGTTAAGCCACTCTTTTAGAGGATACAAGTTCAATTCCCAGATCCCATGGGGCTGGCTAGGAACAGCCCATAAACTCCAGGTCCATGGGAAATAATCAATACCCTCTTCTGGTCTCTATAGACACCTACATACACACACCTTAAAATGAAAATAAAAATAAATGACATGTTTATAATCATTATATCTATTTATATACGAATCACCAAAACTAATATGCATCATTTACTTTCAGGGGAAAAGGACCACTAAAGCATACCACTGATGTAATCTATGCAGCTAAAATGATATCAGAGTCAGGATCAAGGATGGATGTTCTTGCTCGACAGATTGCTAACCAGGTGAGCCACTTATAAATAGACATGAGGAAAGGCTTTTTTTCCTATTTGCTCTCTTCTGCTTGATAATTGACTAGAGTACAGTTGGGTGATTTTAAAACTGTATTAAATATATTTCCTTCCTATATTAGAGTTTCAAAAATTTATAACATTATAATTATGCAACTGGTGAGATATTTAGCTTTAATTATTCTGTTTTAATAAATCAACTTTATCAGATTCAAAGGAACTAAATTCTTTTAATCAGTTATGTGGCATAACAGGTGTTTCTCTTTTCCTTGATGTTCTTGAGTGGTTCACATTTTTCTTCTAAAATGGTAGGTATTTGAGGTCAATGCTTTGTAGCATTATTGGAACAATAAAGAAAAGGTGTTAGTTATAAAATCTACAACTCTTGAGCAGACTGATGTTTCTCCACACCTTTTATTCTTTTCCTTGAGTTTCTCACAGGTTTTCAAAAACACTTTTAAGAATACCTATATTATGAAGTTATATGTATAGTGAGAAATTAATATTTCAGACAGGGTGTAATACGAATACATTTATTTAACTTCATAGTAAGTATTTCTTTGAAGGGGAAATACCTCTTTGATTTTTGCATATACTGAATAAGTTTTGATTGTATATTAAAAGTAAAACTTTACTGAGATATTGTTCAGTATGACTCTTGCTTTCTCATCTCTGTCTTTATACATTCTTTGATGGAACACGAGGAAACATAGATAATATATTTGTGGAACAGTGAAGAACAAACAAACGAGGAAGATACTACCAAAGAGTATTTTTAAGTTTCTGGCATGGGTATTGCTTCTCAATATCTTGTTGCTTTAAATATTATAAAATTTTATAATTTAATCTGCTGTTTAAAGTAGGTTTAACATTGATCATCTGAATGTCCAGAAGCAGGGATAGCACTAAGACAGTTTCAGATTTCAGAAGACATGAGATTTCTCATTTTCAGAATAAGGGGTCTTAACAGGCTAATTCTATGAAATTTTTCTAAAAAACATCTAAGAATATCCCAAATTTTAAACACTTCTTGTCCAAGAATTTCAGTTCAGAGTTATGGACACAGCACTTAGGACTTCAGATCTAAAAATGAATTCCATTATCTTGAAATTCAGAATTTCCTAATTTCTTAAGTAAATGAATCTCATACTTGCCTATATATTTCCTTAATTTAGAATTGAATTGCATTTACTTTTGTGAAGGACTAAATATTAGTGAAAGAATTAAAGTGTATTAGTTTAGCTGGATTTTCAGGTACTAATATGCCTTTAAGTACTGAATGCCTCTTAGCTTTGTTCTCCTTTTTGTGTAGAAAACATGACTATAAGAGGTCAAACACTACCTCATTCTTTAAAATTTTTATTGTTAAATTAAATTAGAAACAAGGTTGTTTCACATGTCAATCCCAGGTCCCTCTCTCTTTCCCTCCCTCATTCCACTCCCTCCACCAACCCCCCCCATAGCCCCTCACTTCCCCATGGAGGGTGAAGCCCTCCATGAGAGTGTCCATAGTCTGTCATTTCATCCAGGGTAGGGCCTAGACCCTCCCCCCAAGAATCCAGGGTGAGAGTACATCTCTTATTGTTGGATGGGTACCCAAGGTCCATTTGTTTGCCAGGTATAAATACTGATCTACTACCCAAGGCCCAATAGTTTATCTAGGACTCCTCACTGACACACACATTCAGGGGGTCTTGATCAGGCATCAGTCTGGGATTCAAGAGCTAACCCTTGTCAGGTCAGCTGTTTCTAGGGGTTAAACCAGCCCAGTCTTAACCCCTTTGATCATCAGTTCTCCCTCTCTGCCACTGGGTTCCTTGAGTTCAGCTCAGGGTTTAGCTGTGGGAGTCTGCATCTGCTTCCATCAGCCATTGGATGAAGGTTCTGTTTCTGAGACTCTCTGGCAGTGGGATTGTAGGCTGGCACTCCCCAGATCTATGTCTAAAATCCATATATGAGAGAGTATATACCATGTTTGTCTTTTTGTGACTAGGTTACATCACTCAGGATGGTTTCTTCTAGTGCCATCCATTTGCCTGCAAATTACAGGATTCCATTGTTTTTTTCTGCTGAATAGTACTCCATTGTATAAATGTACCACATTTTCTCTATCCACTCTTCAGATGAGGGGCATCTGGGTTGCTTCCAAGTTCTGGCTATTACAAATAAGGCTGCTATTAACATAGTGGAACAGATGTCCTTGTTGTATGAATGCACATCTTTTGTATGTATTCCTAAGAGTGGAATTCTTGTGGTAGGCTTATTCCCATTTTTCTGAGGAATCTTCATACTGATTTCCAAAGTGGCTGTATGAGTTGGCACTCACACCAGCAGTGGAGGAGTGTTCCCCTTTCTCCACAACCTCTCCAGCATAAACTGTCATTGGTGTTTTTGATTTTAGCCATTCTGACAGGAGTAAGATGGTATCTCAAAGTTGTTTTGATTTGCATTTCCTGGATGGCTAGGGATGTTTCTCTCAGCCATTTTAGACTCCTCTTTTGAGAATTCTCTATGTAATTCTGTAGCCCACTTTTTAACTGGATCCTTTGGTGTTTTGAAGATTTGCTTCTTGAGTTCTTTGTAAATTTTGGAGATCAGCCCTCTGTCAGATGTGGGGTTAGTGAATATCTTTTCCCAATCTGTGGGCTGCCTTTTTGTCTTGCTGACTGTGTCCTTTGCCTTACAGAAGCTTCTCAGTTTCAGGAGCTCCCATGTATTAATTGTTGACCTTATGGTCTGTGCTGCTGGTGTTATGTTCAGGAAGCAGTCTCCTGTACCAATTCATTCAAGGGTACCACCCACTTTCTCTTCTAAGAGGTTCAGTGTGGCTGGATTTATGTTGAGGTCTTTGATCCATTTGGACTTAAGTTTTGTGCATGGTGATAGACATGGATCTATCCACATTCTTCTACATGCCAGCATCCAGTTATGCTAGCACCATGTGTTAAAGATGCTTTCTTTTTTCCATTTCCATTGTATAATTTTAGCTTCTTTATTGAAGATCAGATGTTCATACATGTATGGGTTAATATCAGGGTGTTCAATTAAATTCCATTGGTCTACCTGTCTACTTTTGTGCCAATACTAAGCTGTTTTCAAGACTATAGCTCTATAATAGAGGGATGGTGATGCTTCCAGATGTTGCTTCGTTGAATAAGGTTGTTTTGGCTATTCTGGGTCTTTAGTTTTTCCGTACAAAATTGATTATTGTTCTTTCACGGTCTGTGAAGAATTGTGCTGGTATTTTAATGGGGATTGCATTGAATCTATAGGCTATTTTGGCAGGATTACCAGTTTTACTACATTGATGCTACTATCCAAGAGCATGGGAGATATTTCCATTTTCTGGTATCTTCTTTAATTTCTTTCTTTAAAGACTCAAAGTTCTTATGATACAGTTCTTTAACTTGTTTAGTTAGCATTACCCCCAAAGTATTTCATGTTGTTTGTGGCAATTGTAAACGGTGACCTTTCTCTGGTTTCTTTCTTAGCCCTTTTATCGTCTGTATCACTTACGTAAACTATCATATCATTCGCAAATAGTGAAAGTTTGACCTCTTCCTTTCCAATTTGTATCCCTTTGATCTCCTTTTGTTGTCGTATTCCTCTAGCTAGAACTTTAAGTACAATATTGAAAAGGTATGGAGAGAATGACAGCCCTGTCTTGTTCCTGATTTTAGCGGAATCGTGCTGAGTGTCTATCCATTTTGTTTTATGTTAGCTGTTGGTTTGCTGTATATAGCTTTTACTATCTCTCCAAGACCTTTATCATAAAGGAGTGTTGGATTTTGTCAAAGGCTTTTTCTGCATCTAGTGAGATGATCACGTGATTTTTGTTTCTCAGCTTGTTTATATGGTGGATTACATTGATGGATTTTCATATGTTGAACCATCTCTGCATCCCTGGGATGAAACCTACTTGATTGTGGTGAATGATTGTTTTGATGTGTTCATGGATCTGATTTGTCAGTATTTTATTGAGTATTTTTGCATCAGTGTTCTTGAGGGATATTGGTCTCCCAACCCAAAATAGCCCAGGGCCAGATGACCTCATTGCAGAATTCTACCAGTAATTCAAAGAACAGCTTATACCAATTCTTCTCAAAGTATTCCATGCAACTGAGGAAGAAGGGTCTTTGCCAAACTCTTTCTATGAAGCTTCAATAACCTTGATACCCAAGCCACACAAAGACACAACTAAGAAAGAGAACTTCAAACACTACATCTTTTTGAAATCTTTCTTGTATCTTTTATTCTTTAAATGGACCAGATCACTGTACAGCAAATCTTTGATATAATTATTCAATATAGCCATCATTTTAAATGTTATTCTAATTACATGTAAGGAAAGAAGATATTCTACTTCCACACAGCATTGCTATTTTCCAAGAAAATTAAGTGGTCATTGACCACTGAGACATTATGGATAACAGACCTCAGATTTTTTTTTGATTATTTGAAACAGGGTTTAGCTACATTGTTTTGGAGCCTGTCCTGGAACTTGCTCGGTAGTCCAGGCTGGTCTCAAACTCACCGAGATCTGCCTGCCTCTGCCTGCCGAGTGCTGGGATTAAAGGCGTGTGCTACCAATGCCCAGCTAGAACTCAGAATTTTCACTTTGTAAAGCCAGATAGTTTTCTTTTCTAAATAAATGTGGATCTAAACAATCGACACTGGGAATTAAAATCCAATGAAGATGATTTAATGACCATCATGGGGGACTGTAGTCAGAAGCTTTTTTGTGTCCCACCCAGTCCTGCAACCAACTTATAAGGTAATCACTCAGAGGCTTAATATTAATTATAATTATTTGCCTGACGGCTTAGGCTTATTACTAGCTAACTTTTACATTTAAATTAACCCATTTCTATTAATCTCTGTATCACCATGTGGTCTGTGACTTACTGATAATGCTGTAGTCTTACTCCTCCAGTGGCTACCGTCATCTCCCTGACTCTACCTTCTTCCTCCCTGTATCTCTGCTTGGATTTCCT